GGACTATTGGTCGAATATTTAAGACTTTAATTAAGTTTGCAATTTTTACGTTAGTCGCGTGACTGGTTTGACGACCCCTAGATCCGCCCCTGTTAAATATTTAGTCTGTCTCGTCAGGGGGAGAGCATTATGACACTCAATGGGCAAATCCGCCTATATCTGCCCATCCACCCAGCTGTTAACCTTTTAAACTATTATTTTACTCTGTCTAACGCCAGACAATTTTACTCGTCAGGGGGATAGAGCATTGTCACTGAATGGGTTAATCGGCCTATCTGCCCATGCACCCTGTTAACCTTTTACTGTAAACTTTATTATTTTACTCTGTCTAACGCCAGACAATTTTACTCGTCAGGGGGAGAGCATTGCCACTCAATGGGTTAATCGGCCTATCTGCCCATGCACCCTGTTAACCTTTTAAACTTAATTATTAAAGGAATACCGAATGGTTTTCCGTGCAGGATTGCGTGATCCATGCACGCGGGATGTTGCGAGACTTTCGGAAAGCGTAAAAATACACGAGCCGTAGGCGAGTGTATTTTTACGCTTTCCAAAAGTCGAGCAACATCCCAAGTGCATGGATCATGCTATCCTGCACGGGAAAACCATTTGGTAATTGTTTTATAAAATTACTACAGTGAAACGACGGTTAACTTGATTAACATTACTGATCAAATGTGCAGTTCTAACAACAATCGTGAATTAACCAATCGGAGAATCGCTACTCCGCGCCATTGAAAACAACAACATATGTGAACAGATTTTGATCGCAAATTCGCAAAAATATACAGCGAAAATACAGGGACTTTTTCGATAAAATATACGAAATTTGAAATGGAAAACCCGCTAAACATAGAGCCAAAGTAGTAGTTTGAAGATTCTCGACCCGAATATGTGAAGCGTTTGATCAACTTTGAAGCGAGAGATGTTGTACTTGCATGCAATGCAGCAATGGCCTGATGAATTTCAACGCTACGCATTGCTACTTGCTGAATAGCAATGTATCGATCAGAAATTTATTCATACAACTAAACCAACGTCTCAATAATTGGAAACTTACTTCAAAGTCGAAAGTATCGTACAATGAAACTTTAAAATGCGAGTATATTTGTGAAATTATGTGCAAGAATTTCTGTTCAGAATTTCCCGTGCAGGATTGTCTGATCCTGCACGGCTGTTGACCAATCAAATTGCCTGTTTCACTTAGCCTCCTCCGCAGGCATCTCGTAGTTCACGTTTTTTGCCTGCAAGAAATTTTGCCCGATAATCGAAAGGCGATGCCTGCGGAGGAGGCTATGTTTCATGACTGTAGTTATTATATAATATATTTTACTTTGTCTAACACCAGACAATTTTATTTGCCCGGGGGAGAGCATTGCCACTCAATGGGTAAATTTTATCGGCCTATCTGCCCATGTACCCTGTTAACCTTTTAAAGTTTATTATATTTTACTTTGTCTAACGCCAGACAATTTTACTCGTCAGGGTGAGAGTGCTGCAACTCGATGGCTTAATTAACACATGCAGCGGCAGTGATTCCAATAGCTGCGATAGATGACAATAATTAGATTACAGTATTGTAATGCATTAGATTATTGTTATACACTGTACTGGTATGTTTGTATTTCTTTCTATTCACAGTATAGTTTTACAGACACTCCGGTACAGTACAATATGTATTATTACTAAGTAAACATATAATTTTGTCTGTACATAATCCCCCCCCCCTCTCCAATTAACCCCCATGTATAAGCCCATCAATATTTATAGAATAGTTGCATGTGAGTTTCAATAAAGCTGAGTACACATACTACAATTTCAATCAGCCAATAGACACTTCTCAAATTTGCTTGCTGGCAATGAAAACTACTTAATAAAATAAAATATTTTTAATGGATTCAAAATTATTTGAATGTTTACCTCGATTTTAAGCTATTGTTTTGTGTCAGGAAAATTTGGGAAGTGTGTATTTATGGAACTTTTGCTGTTGAAACAAGCGCCAGTCTGTGATATGATCAGTGGGCTCGTTATGTTCATGTGTTTTACAGCCAAGTTTTACCAACTCTCACATCCTTTTTGAAATGTTTCAAATGCCTCAGCGAGGAATCTTATCCTAGTTCACAGTTGATGGAACGTGACCATTTCTGGATAAGAGAAGGCTTGGGTACCATTCATTGGTGGGACTTGGGGGACCATTAATAGGCGGGACTTGGGTACCGTTAGTTAAGGTCGGACTTCTGCATGATCATTCATTGCTTGGACTTGGGGACCATTTGTAGTAGGTGGGATGCAGGGCCCGTTAATTAGTATAGGTGAGATTTGGTTGCTGTTGTTGACTCTTCAGGTAGTTTACAATAATTGTGAAATTTGAATGCAATTTTTGGCATTACTGTGATTTCTGCATGGACACTTGTTGCTTCTGGTGACTGGTTGTCTTCAAAGACAAAAGTCACAGATGGTAAAGCATTCATTCTCAGATTCAGCCACTTTGCTTGGTTGGGTAGTGGTGGATGCACATACATACATACATACTTTATTGTGTTCCTCAAAGAGGCTTTTCAACACTAATTTACATGGAATGGTGATTAAAAAACAAGGTTTAGATTACATATATAAAAATTTACTAGGAAAAATCTTCTATTATTAAAATAGTCCATTACTAAGAATACAGTCTGTACTGTCTGTCTAACATATATTTCTTTAATTTATTCTTAAAACTTCTCAAAGATGGCATTTGTTTCGTATTATTGTCCAGATCATTCCATAGTTTCACCCCTCTATAATGAAATGTTCTCTGGCCAGTGGTGGTATTATAAATCGGTATTTGGAGGAGCTCTCGGTTATGAGTGTTACATTCATGTATATTTGATCGTTTACTAAATTTATTGCACAAGTAAGGTGGGGCTAGATTGTTAATACACTTGTACATCAAAACTGTATCTCTAAAACTAAGTGTTCCTTAACTGGAAGCCAATTCAGTTCTTGCAGTTTTGGTGAGATTTGATCGAACTTCTTGCTGTTTGTCACGATCCTACACGCGAAGTTTTGTACGAGTTGTAGCTTGTTAATATTTTTGGCCGAAGTGTTCGACCAAGCAGAGGAGCAATAAAGGAGTTTATTCATTACCAATGCTGATACCAAGAGGGATATAGTTTCTTTATCAAAACATTTGCTTACTCGGTTGATCTGTGACAATTTGGACATGCAAGAGGAGACTAATTCGGTGATATGGCAATCGTATGACATGTTGGTGTCCCTTATTAATCCTAAATCCTTGGCTGAAGGAACTGGCCTGATAGTTTCACCTAGAAAATTTAGGCACATATCTGTAGGGAGCAGGGGCGTAGCAAGACCTTTTTAACTGGGGGGGTGTAACATCTAAGTTTTACCGACCCACGCGCCACGAGGCGCCACCATGGTTGGCGCCGAGCGGAAAATTTTTGAAAATATGGAGTCTCTAGATCGTTGGAAATGGCATTTTCAGAGCCTTCTGTACCTTATACACACAAGGTTTGGTAGCTTTTATTTATATCAAACAAAACCATATTGTTGAAGTTGTGTTATTTTCGAAATCCATGAGAATCCGTCAGATATTAACAAGCTGTGACTGTGAGACTGTGAGTGTGAGCTCACCGTGAGGTTTTATTAGAATCCGTGACCGCCCCTTATACGCTACATATAACATATATCATAACAGCTATACAGCAATTGACAAATAAATATTTCGGCGCGCGTTTAATTTAATGACACTTACCGTGACTTTAGTCAGCCGTCTAGAAATAACGTAGAACCAGAAACGTAGCAAACGCTTTATTAATTGGAATAATTGTTGTCTTTGTTACTTCGCGATAAGTCATTTTACCCAATGGCATTTATCTTGTTGTTTATTGTAATGAACAGACTTGAAAAATTGGCGAAACATTTTATGAGCACCGCGTGTCAATAACAAATATATAAATATAATCTTTAATTCTTTTGCGTATCATTGTATCAAGGTCAAAAGTTCGCGCACAGTTGAACATGTCCAATCAGAACCGACTGTTTTTGCAGCTCTTGCAAGTGTAATACGATAGGAAATTAGGGGCTCCAATGCTTATGCGTAGATATTTAATATAAGTGTTTTAATACTGAAGAATTACGTACATTTTGCATAACTTTATTGGAGAACAAGGCACAACATTAATTTAATTTTTTATTATTATTAAAAGCCATTTACCGAGGAGCAAAATTCCACTTTAACCGATTTGTTTTACCGACCGCTGTCATGGCTTTTGCCATTACCGAATAACTTCGCGTTTTACCGACTAACTCACTAAAACTGGGGGGGTGTCACACACCCCCACACACCCCCGCACGCTACGCCCCTGGTAGGGAGATTTTGTAACTGTTGTCGCGTTCCGATAAGTAAATACTTGGTTTTCTTCGGATTAATAAGTAGATGAAGTTCAGAGCAGCACTTTGCTACTCGGCTGAGATCTTCCTGAAGGTACTCTTTTGTGTCAGTCGCGTCATTAACACGAAATGGCAAGAACATCTTTGAATCATCAACATATGAATTAAGGGAGCTGTGACGTGGGGCCAGTGGTAACTCGTTTACATAGATGCTAAACAAGAGTGGAGATAAAATAGCACCCTGTGGAACCCCGTGAGTGATGTTAAGAGATGACGAAACAGACGTTCCAATACGGACAAATTGTGATCTGCCCGTTAAGTAGCTTTCGAACCACTTCACTGCCACAGGAGATGCGCCAATGTGTCTTAGCTTGTTAAGCAATGTTGGGTGATGTACGCTATCAAATGCCTTCGATAAATCTAATAGTATAAGTGCAGTTACAGATTTCTGGTCCATAGCTTCCAATATGATATCATCAACCAAAACGTTCAAAGTTTCCGAGGAATATATCTTCTGTTACCGCTTTGATGCGATGTCAGACATTCATTATGGAACAAAAATGTTGTAAATTGGCATAAAACGACCTTCTCGCAAATTTTTGACACAACTATAAGTAAGGAAAGGGGACGATTGTTGGATGGTAGTCATGATCACCCTCCTTTATTAGTGGAATAACTTCCGCCTCCTTCCAAGATTGTGGGAACTCAGAAGACGTCAGTGAAGCATTAATAATATCTGTTAATGGTCCGAGGATGACTGGTAAGCAGTCCTTAATAATGCGCATGCTTACTTTATCTTTGCCTGGAGCCTTGTTGGTGGGCATGGACATTATAATGTTTTTAACTTCAGAACAGGAGACAGGGTCAAAATTAAACATCTCAGATTCGTATACAGGGTAATTTCTATTAAACGCTGCAGTGGGTGGAGTATCAGGGTAAATATTATAATCTTGTAATAATTGAGATGCTGCTATGGCTGTGTTCTCCCCAACAGAAGAAAAGAAGTGGTTGAACTCTTCAGCAACTATCTTTGGGTCTTTGCTATAGACGACCGTCTCTTTTTCTTTGTAAGCTACAGTATCTTTGATAATTTTCCATAAGGAACCCGTGTTGTTTTTATGCTTCATCACTTCATTGTAAACATGATTTCTTTGTGCTTTAATGAGTTCGGTCTTAACAGCGTTACGAGCTGCTTTGAAGTTGCACCAATCGCTGTGGTTTCGTGTCTTAAGAAAAAGGCCGTGTAGTCGATCTCTCTTGTCCATCAGTTCTTTTATTTCAGGTGTCACAAAAGGGCACGGTCTGTCTCTGACTTTTAGGGTCTTTATTGGGGCATGAGAATCGGTCTGCAGTACGTCATTGAAAATTTTGAGTTTTTCATTAATATCATTGACTGAAAAGACGGAAAGAAGGCGTTCAGATTTAGATGCGAGATCAGTGGCAAATAATTCGGGGTCGTAGTTCCTATAGCTGCGAACTGTAATGTGGATGGGTGGTGGTTTGGTAGGCTTTAGCTTAAGCGTAACATACACGGGCAGGTGATCACTGATAGTGCAGTTTAGGACACCACTGTCACGTACGGTATTAGGAGAACTGACCAAAATCACGTCAATCAAAGATTGGCTAATGTCTGTGATGCGGGTTGGAGATTCGATAATTTGTTTGAGATTGAGTTCTGACGTCATTTCGGTTAATGATTTACATTCTCGACTTGTTGTATTCAGCATGTTGCAATTTAGGTCTCCCAAGATGATGGTCGGTTTTCGCATACTGAGAGCATGGACGTACTGTGGTTTGAGAGAATTTTTGAAACAGTCAAGTGGACAATCTGGAGGACGATAACAGACACAGGCCAGTAAGGACTTACTTAGTTTTCTTATACTGCAAATTAATCCATAATTGGTGGAAGCTTGTGTCAGAGATCTGAGTAAGTTCTTTGATCACCGATGACTTTATGTTTTTACGAACGTATGCACAAACATCGCCGCCTTTCTTATACAATCGATCCAGGCGATGTAATTTGTATAACCATCGATTTCTAATTTCTTATTTGTTACCGTAGTGTTCAACCATGTCTCGGAGATAGTAAAGACGTCAATTCTATTTGTTCTAACGAGTTCTTTCAACTGCAAAAAATGGGCTGTATTTCGTAGGGATCGTATATTTAGATGAGCTAACTTCAATCCCTCGGTTAAGGGCATAGCCAGAAATATGCGACATATGCGACTGCGAGGCACACGCACTTTTGTCAGCGTGTCAAGTGTTGCGCATGAGTAATTGAAATATTTTGTGATATACGATCCGGAGGTTTATCAATATCCCGCGGCTTTCGTCTGGCCTTTGGTTTCATTAGGATTGCCCAAAACCCGAGATTTCAGCAGTATTTAATGATAAAAACTTGCGCGTATGACTTAAAAAGCATGTTATTAAAGACAAGCAAGAAACGAGCTTCAAAAAAATAATTTAGGAGAAGTAATTGACCGAAATCGCACCGAGTTATGGCCATGCTATTGGAAGCAAGACGAAGGTCGAAGTTCAGTTATCGGTCTTGGATATTCTAAAGTCTAAACTACCTTTAAAACAACAAGGCAGGGACAAGGGAAGGGAAGATTATATTTCTTCGTTTTTATATCATTTAAAGCCGTAAGAACCTCATCGAAAGTAGGAATTTATATTGTCTACAACGCGCAGCGAAGGAATCGTATTGTATTGCTGTATTAGTAATACAATTTACTATAAATATTGGGAATCAGGCTCGGGTGATCACTTAGTGTTGCGTGTAGAATACTGAATCCCTGATTTAAATTTTTGTTTCTGCGGGATGCTCAAATACTCGGACATTTTTGAGGTCTTTTGAGTATTTGCAGTTGGCGCGTTATTTAAATTTCGTGGGAAAATGAAGCATACCGCTGCCCAGTACAGTATTGAAGTCTCACAAACATGAAGCCACACAACGGTTTGGTCAGTGGCGAATATATATTATTTCATGCTCCGAACATAAACAAAACATCATGGAGACTATAATTTTGAAAACGAGCTTTAATTTGGTCTTTAAAGTTTTGAAATACCCCAAATATTCGAGAAGTTATGGCTGTTTCAATGTGCAAGATATTTGCTCCTTTAGCGGAGGATTTGCGAACGCTTTCGTGTGCGTTGAAATATATTTTACCAGGGACAAACGGGAATAAGATAAGCGAACGAAATATTTATATATCACGATACTAGACATCTTCGAGTCGCAACTTCAAGTTTCGTTTGTAAATTTTGTCCGTTCATATAATTTTTTTTGCCTGTTTTATAGTCACTGTCGTCTACTTGACATGTATTATTACAGTCACGGCCTTATAGAGAACTGAATTTCATAAAATTCGCAGGGGACAAGTCGCGATTTGTAGTATACGGTAACTATTTGGTGGATAATATTCTCCGATATTTACTGTATAATGTCTTGCTTTCGTTTGTTCCGATTCACAAACAGTTTAGCTAATATTTTAAATAATTGTGCAATTCTAATACAATTCCATATAAAAAATATTTTAATTAAAAGCAATCGGATACGTGCGCTTGAGGTGTTGCGCAATCGCATGTCGCGTTTTTCTGGCCATGGTGTCTAGCTACGGCCCAGGTCGGCGGCTGAGCTTCGTGTGGTAATTTGACTGCAAACAAGATCAAAGGCCGACTCACGGATAAGTTCAAATGAAAGTGACAGAAAGAATTAGAGCAGTTTCCCTTTGTTTTTGTAAACTGGGCACCGTGCAAATTTTGCCATTTCACCCATCTGTCGTGCTTCATTTGCCAAATCAAAAGAACGACGCGTGATCCAGCCTGATTTCCGGTTCTGAAAGGCCCGATTTGTAGGCAAACAGTGCGCGCAAAGCAGGCTGGTCATTTCCCATTGTCTAAATGCCCCGCACTCAAGTAACCACAAAGACTGTTGCTTCGCAACATCCGTGAGTCAAAAAGCACATAGTGACATAGAGTCGTGTCAGGCGACGTTCTCCAGACTCCAACTACAAAGCGTCAAATGTGTTCGTCTCCGAGTATTTCGATTCATTTCTTTATGTTATTAAAAATAGAGGAAAATTGTCTTA